ACAGGTAGGGTCCGGCCGGCCTGGCCTCAATCAGGGCAGATTGGGGCTGAGCCTGTCCAGAGGAGGAGATGGCAGGAGGTTGGCCGGCCAGCCCCACTCCCCATCGGGGGCAGAGCTGTCTAGGGGGAGGAGCTGCAGGAGGTTGGCCAGCTGGCCCTGCCCCCTATCGGGGTGGGGGTGGCAATCAGGGGCAGGGCCATCCAGAGGGAGGGGCTGCAGGCTGATCAGGGTGGGGTGGGCCAATCAGGGGCAGGGCTGGCTTTGGGGAAGGGGTGGCAGGAGGTTGGCTGGCCAGCCCCACCTCAATCGGGCCAGTTCACTGGCTGCAGTGGGCATCATAGTGACTGGTCATTCTGAGCATTATGGTGTTCCGGTCACTGGCTTTTTATATATATAGATGATTCCAGATATATTTTTAAAATATTTAGTGGGACCCATCTTAATGGATATGTTTGATAGGGGGCGGGGGTGAGGGATTAGCTAAATGGAGGCCAAGGGCTATGGAGGTGTGACTCTATCCACATGAATTGGCCAAGGGATGGTGACCCAGACAGGCCAGATGGAAAAGAGGGAGAGGGACCAGCAGAGGGGTGCAGGATGTGACTTACAATTTCAGCTCTTACACTGAATGACTGCAAGCAATTGGTTGGCCTGTCATTGGCCTCTAATGCTCCACCTGTAAAAGAGTCTAGTAATGCGCCTGTTTGCAAGGCTTTCTAAATGAAACACTGCACCTTCAAGGACTTTCAAAAATACCGGCAGGTACTGGAGTGCTAAATACACAACAGATGTTTAATGTAAACTAGTTATAAAAAAAAAAGATGGCATTTTCTCTAAACAATCCCAACATTTGCTGGAGTAAGGGGACTGCCAGTTATTTACTTTTGAAACACTGAAATTGTATGTTCATTTTGGAAAATAATCTCATAATATGTACTTGGAGGCTTGAAAACATCACTAAACTTTGACCCAGCAATCTCAATTTTGAGGATCAATTCTAAGGAAATAACACTCAAAAGCTATCCATGGCAGAGTTGTATTTACTCCTGCATCCCACCCCACCCCCAAAATTTAAAAGGCAGATAAAGTAGATGTAGTAGATGGATTAACTAAATGAGGATATGATTAATAATATTCTCAGAGATGTTAGAAATGCCTCTGTATTGGGAAGAATAAAATCAAAATATATCATATACACAGTATACATGAACAGCTCTGTAAAATATATGAACATAAAATCGTAAACTATTTGTCTTTTAGTGATGGATTTGTTCTAGGTTATTGAACTTTTACATTATTTATAATTATGTATTTTTTTATGACTGAAAAAATTTTTCAAACAAATTTGAAATGATTGATTGTCACTAGTCTTAAAAAAAAAGAATAAGAAAAAAAAAAGCCAAATGATGGAATAGTGTGATCACTAAGAAAATTGTAACTCATATCACTGTCTTGTCCCATTTATAAACACTGCATGGGGCTACTATATTTAACACACTGTGAATAAACATTATTTTTTACTTTTATTTTGGGCTATGTCTTTTCAACAAAAATAGTCATGGCAAGATTAATATTCAGAAGAAAAGACAGAGCACATTAAGATGGAAGCCACAGGCTGTCAGTCGTCAGTGATGTTTTTCTGGAAGAGTGAAAGAACTGGAAGAGAGAGTGAGCTGAGCATTCCAAACAAGAGCCTGGTCTGTTTAAAAAATCTGCAAGTAACACAGTATGAGTTCAGAAATTGGAAAAGGAGTGAGACAAAATGGCTGCATTAAAAAATTTCAACTGCTATTTCTATCAGTTCCTTACACCCAGTATTTTGATAATGTGGATAGCAGGTTGTAGTATGAAGTATGGTGTCCTTGTCATTTTTGCACTTGAAGGAGGTTTCCCTCATTTCACCCACACTAACCCTAACCAGATTTTTATAAAGAAGAAAGTGAAAGAAAGCTATCAAAAAGTCTACAACTGACATTCTTAATATATCAAGACTAGTGACCCGGTGCATGAAATTTGTGCACATTGAAAGGGAATTAATTAGAGGAAATATTTTAATATTGCATCTGCCCTTTCTCTATAATAGAATTGTCAGAGATGAAAGAAAATTAGTAAAATGTATATAAAAATATCCCTCCTGTCAGAGTCTGGGGCATGCCACAGGAACCAGAATCAAGTCCCTGCCCACCCATGTGCGCCTTGAAATCAAGCGATACCCAGACCCGGCCGGCCCAACCCCCATTGGGCTAGATCCAGATCTGGCTTGCCCCACCTCTGTCAAGCCCTGCCAGGTGGAAGGTTGTAGCCTCAGGTCGCCTGGCCCAGTGCCAGAGCAGGGGGCACGGCCTGAGGTCCTCTGTCAACCCCACCAGGTGGAGGGTGCAGCCTCAGGTCCCCTGCCCTGGCACAGTGCCACACAGCCTCAGGTCCCTGCTGATTGCCCGTTAAGGCTCATACGGGAACTCAGCCTCTGCTGTGGGCACAGCCATCTTGTTTAATGGAATCCCTGCCTCCACTGTGGGTGCAGTCATCTCAACCATTACAGTGTGATGATCAATTTGCATATTCCCTTTTTATTAGATAAGATGTGCTAAACTGTGGTGACTTCTTAAGGATACCAAGGCACCTGGGACTCAGTCATTTAATGTTCCACCTCCCCGTGTCTATCACGTTGCTGCCAGGATTACATAAGGTAACACATGAAAGTGCATCTGGCGCAGAATAGCTACTCGGTATCTATGTACCCCCTTGGTTATACATGAAAGTACTTAAATCAAATCAGAATTGTGCTTTCCCCATCTTAATCTGGTAGGAAAATAGAAGCTGCATTCTAAGAGAAGAGACCCCCTTGCTGGGAGAGAAGCGAGGGAGCGTTTATAAATGGTCCACATACCAGAGGGGCTAATGTTTACAGAAGAAAGCCCAAGCTGACAACCAAATTGGTCAGGTGTCAAGCAGAAATAAAAGAGAGCAGACTGATTGCAGAGACCCAGCCTTCCAATATCGGAGGAGCATATGCCTTTGAGATCATAAATCTAGGAAATAATACTGAGGAACCTTGAGAGACAGAGATCAACTTACACTCAACTTCTTGACAAGTGTCAGACAGGTATGATATTCATACCTGTTGCTAAAACTTCTCAAGTGAAAATGATGCTGCAGGGTGACAAGAAGGTTAAGGACATGCCTCGTAGTAAAACCTTTCCACTGAATGAACTGACACAGGCAGAGGTCATGACAACTGCTGAGTTCAATAAAGTATCTTAAGCCTCAAGGCAGGCCCTTCAAATGAAAAGGGAGGTGGGGGGTGGGGCGGGGGGGGAGTTGAGGATGAGAACCTAAATATAAGCACCAACTTTAAATTGTTATTAAATAAGCAAGAAACCTACTAATTTTTGAGAGAATTTTATTGCTAAGAAACTGGAAGCTTGAGCTAAATTATAACAAATTCCTTGAGACTCAAGGCCTTTCAACTTTCTCCAAGAGTTGTATAGCTCCCAAGAAAAAGGAGAGTCTCAACACTAACAAGATATATCCCAGAAGGATAACGGGAAAGCAAGGACACCCTGGAGGACAGACCCAGGGCCATCCTTCACCCTATGGGAGTTCTGGTTCCTATGTGCCAGCTGACCGCCTCTTCCTTTCCCTCCGTGAATGGATCAGGGTCTGATTGCAGTTACTTGATCTCTACGCTGTATTATCAGTGCAGCACAGGTGGTGCCCATGATTTTTCTTTTCCATTCATAGACTTCTAGTCTAAGACAAGTTTTGTTTGGAACCATTGCATAAAAATACAGCACATCATCCCAAGATCCTAGACTTTGAGCTTCACGTGCTGGATTAATGAAACTTTGGATTGTTTCACTTGTTGAACATTTGAATGTGTTATATATCTGTGTAGGGTAAATAATGGAGAAATGCTCTGTGCCCAGAAGAGTGGATTGTGGCAAAGACAGCAGTGTCTCCCAGAATTGCATGCATTACCCCACATTCCCAGCCCCCATCTAAGTAGGAAGGCCAAGTGATTTGTTCTGACCACAACTATGGGAGGAAATACCAGGTTTCCCTTCTGGACTGAGGCACAAAAACGGACATACAACTGTCCAGCTTTCTCTCTCTCTTATTGTATAGACTAGAGGGTCTGAGTTTTGATGTTTAGGTCAGTGGATCATTCATTAGCCTGAACTCCTTTTCTCTTTAAAACCTGCGATAGACATGTAAAAAAGACAATAAACTTTTGGAATTATTTTTGTAGCATAAACTTATCCCATCCTGATTATTACAGAGACTAGTGGCCCAGTGTACAGAATTCATGCACATTAAAAGGGAATTAATTAGAGGAAATATTTTAATGTTGCTATTTTCCCAGTCTCTATAATAAAAGTGTCAGTGATGAAAAAAAATTAGTAAACTGTCTATGAAAATCTCCCTCCTGTCAGAGTTTGGGGCATGCCGTGGGACCTAGAATTAAGTCCCTGCTACCACCCACTGGCGCTTCAAAAATGCAGGAGACCTAGACCCGACCGGCCCCACCCCCGTCAAGCCCCTCTATGCGAGGGGGATGCAGACTCAGGTCCCTCATCCTGGCACCAGGCGGAGGGCATAGCCTCAGGTCCCCTGTCCTGGTGTTGGGTGGGGTGGGGTGTAGTCTCAGGTCCCCATCAAGCCCCGCTGGGCTAGGGACATGGTCTGAGGTCCCCTGTCAAGCCCTGTTGGGCAGGGGGCACAGCCCGAGGTCCTCGGCTTGGTGCTGGGGTGGGGGAGCATGGCCTAAGGTCTCCTGGCCCAGCACCAGGGTGGGAGGCACTGCTTGAGATCCCCAGTCAAGCCCCGCCAGGCATGGAGTGCACCTTGAGGTCCCCCGGACTGGCCAGGAACCATGCAGCCTCAGGTCCCTGCTGTCCAGTTGTGATGTTATGGCATCTGGTTTACTTTGCATATTCCTCTATTATATAGATAGATTATCTGGGACAATTTAAGTATTAAGAAATAGAGTATATTATGCACCAGCTTGGATCTGTGGCAAGCCTGCCCCACTGTGTTTCTCACAGTGCCCCATGCCAGAGTAAACTGGCCTTGAACCATTGTCTAGCCTCTGCCCATTGGCAGGCACGGAAGTGAGTTGCACAGTGGGGAAAAAGAACAAACAAAAAACCCCCACATTTATTTTCAGAGACATTTCCTTTGCTGCTGTTTTCTAGACAAGAACACACTCAAATTATTATTAAGTGAAACAACTCAGCATATGTCCAGCCAGGCATGAAGGTCAAATGGATTTCAAGGTGATGTGCAGTTGTCTTTACATTGGTTCTAGAGACATAGGTTATCTTGTTTGAAAGGCCAGTGAAGCAGAAAAACGAGTCACATGTGCCACTCTTATTCCAACTACAACAGTGGAACTAGGAGTAGAAAACCTGGAAGGAATGATATAAACAGTTTTACTAGAACTTTCATGTATTCATATTATAATTTCCTAATAACCAGAAAAAAAAATAGGATATGTTTCTCCCTAATTTAAAACCCATATTTTCATGTCTTCTCTGGCGCATTTTACTTTCTCAGGAATTGAGATATAGATTAACTTCTTTTTTCCCTTTACTCTAGATCTTATCCTTGATTTTTAAGTATGGGCACCCTTTTACAATCTTACTAGAGGCCCAGTGCACGGAATTCATGCACTGAAGGGAGGTGGTACCTCAGCCTGGCCTGCACCCTCTCGCAGTCTGGGAACTCTCACTCACTCCTTACCGCTTGCCTGCTCACTGCTCCTTACTGCTCAGCTCGTTAAGCCTTAAAACTGCAGTGGAGGCGGGAGAGGCTCCCATCACCGTCATGCTCTTGCCAGCCATGAACCCGGCTTCTGGCTGAGTGGCGCTCCCCCTGTAGGAGCACACTGACCACCGAGGGACAGCTCCTGCATTGAGTATCTGCCTCCTGGTGGTCAGTGTGGGTCATAGCGACTGGTGGTTCCACCATTTGGTTGATTTGTATATTAAGCTTTTATTGTATAGGATACTTGTATTACCTCAGCCTCAATTCGACATAAACGTTTACCCTTTCTCCTTTCTTTCAGCAGAACTTAGAACATCAAATTTACTCTCTAGGTTCTCTCCTTCCATCATACCAACTACGTTAAGTCATCAAAGAGACTCAGGGTATGACCATGGACCACTGCCACTCCTTAGCACAGTTGACCTCCTGTGAGCACTTCACACACTACCATTCTCTCGTTTTTAACACATACTTCCCTCTTGGCTCCTATGAATGATTCATTGTCTCCTGTGTAAAAAATAACACAAACAAAGCCACTTTGAAATGAAGCAGAGCTACCAGGGCAGAGGAATTGCCTCGCATGTCTTATTTTTCAAACATTTGGAATATTCAACTGGACAGAATAACCTGTGGACTGGGCCTGAAGCAGCATTCTGTCCCAAAAAAGTATTTGCAAGGTAACAAGAAAGCAAGTATTATTTTTACAAGACCCATGACTATTGGACTGAAAAATAAAAATGTTGGTTAGAATTAGTGTCACTATCGTTTCTCACCTGCATCAGTAGAATGCATTCCTTTTATTGATGTAATTGTTCCCCTACCTTTCTAATAGATACCATTACCATTGTTTCCTACTCAGAACATTAGTTGGGCTTCTGCCTGAATCAGTGCTTTCCAAATAACTATTCTCTGATCTCAAATAAATGCTTGTTGCCTCTCGCTTTGAAAAGCATTTTCCGTTTAGCTGAACATCTTTTTCACTGAAAGCTCCATTATAAAGTTTATTTTCTTCTATTGGGTCTTTAAAATTTGGAGTTACTCAAGGTTCAATTTAGATTGTTTTACTTTTTTACTATATACTCTTTACCTAGGTGAATTCTTGTATTCACACAGCTTTGATGTTGGAAATTATGTGCTAAACAAGATCACTCCTCTGACCTCCATATGCACACATTCAACTTTCTTCCAAATGTTGCCACTTAGATGCCCTACAGACCTCTAGAACTCAGCATGTTCCAATTATCTTCCTTCAGCGATGCCCACTGCAGGAAACAATACCTTTTTAGTGATTTTTTCAATCCAGAAATTCTTCTACCATCCCTATCAAATTTTTTCATCATTTCTTATGCCCACCATAATATTTTACAAGTTCTACTTATCTATATTGCAAATAGAGTGGTCTCTTAAAAATAATCCTGAACTCTTAATTCTTCTATTAACAATGTTCCAATGATTTTCCACAGCTGCCATAAAAATCTAAATTTTTAGTACTGTTTCCCGGGCCATGAATAAACTGGCCCCACTTCTCTCTCTGTTACTTTTTTGCTCCATCCTCATTCCTTTTATGCACTACTAGAGACCTGGTGCATGAAATTCATGCACTTGGGGTGGGGAGGGTCCCCCAGCCTGGCCTGCACCCTCTCACAGTCCAGGAGCCCTCGGGTGATGTCTGTGAGCCCGGCTTCTGGCTGAGTGGTGCTCCCCTTGTCGGAGCCCACTGACCACCAGTGGGCAGCTCCTGCATTGAGCATTTGCCCCCTGATGGTCAGTGTGTGTCATAGTGGCCAGTTGTTTTGCTGTTCGGTCAATCTGCATGTTAGCCTTTTATTATATAGGATGCTTTTGCTTGTTATGTTCTCCTTTATATAACCTTCTTAGGGATTTTTCTCTTCTGAACAGAAACCTTTTCCCCTTATTTTAATCATTCTAACTGCAATTTGTTTTTCACCTGTCCAATTATTCATTAGCACCATTCACCAATTATTTCCGACTTTCCTCTTTCTAGATTCATGATAGATTGCAGTTTCTACCTCTTGTGGCATTTGGAATGGCCATTATTTTCCCCAAATCCTTGACTATATTAGACAACTTCTACTTTTCTTCTATGGTGCATATTATTCTTGTAGTTATTTGGTCATTTGTTATGTGTATATATATGATATATATATGTATATATATACACACACATATCTTTATTATATGGTCATGTGAGTGAAAAATCTTGTTTGCCTTTTTCATCAATATATCTTTTGCCCCTAAAATGGCACTTGCCATAATGTTGGCTTTCAATGACTAGTTATTGAATTTATCAAGAGACACACTGGTTCACTCACATTAAAATCATTACTAAATACATTAAAATGGACACATGGAGAACGAAAGTCACAACTGTACCTTCAGTGGATATGTCTGTCTGTTGTTTTTGTCAGTGGATCCTGAGGTGAACAAGCAGAGAACGTTTTCTTGCTCTTCTCCTTGGGCCTGCCCTCCCACCTGCAGAGGGGGCTGCTGAGGGAGGATCAAGAAGGGCCCTGCCAGCCTGGAAGGTGAATGAAGGAGGAAGCCTGGGGCAGGTGGCATGGTCAGGACTGCTCGGTCTAATTCTCAGGGGGGAAATGCATTCCTGAGACTTTCTTTATTATTCAGCATGTTGTAAGGAAGTGGGTCATGATTTGGACCAAAGAGACAGACAGTATTTAGAGCTGGATTTGCAAAGATTGTCCTCAGTTAATGTTTATGACCCCTCTGTGTAAGAAGACTATTTGATAACAATAATAACACTTGCTACTAACATTATGCGATGACTGGGTGCTGGTGCACTATTTTAAGTTTTGTGTATGCATAACCTCATTTATTCTTCACAAAATTCTACTGTGTGTGCAGTATTTTATTAGTTGCTTTCTAAATGAGAAGTCCAAGGTATAAGGAATTCATTCATTTGCCCAGTAACTCAATTTAAAGACGGAAGGGCTTCCATGATAGTTCAAGAACTTTGTGTGGAACCTAGGCTCTGAGCCTCTTCATCAATACTAATAAAAGGGTAATATGCTAATTAGACTGGGAGACCTTCCGGGAGACCTTCCAGATGCCCTTCCAGACAAAGCCATGGTGGCGGGGACAAGGCAGAGGCAGTTAGGGGATGATCAGATCAGGAGGGGAGGGCAGTTGGGGGTGATTAGGCCGGCAGGCGGGGGCAGTTGGGGGTGAGACGACCGGTAGAGGGGCAGTTGAGGAGGAGCAGGCCAGGAGGCAGAGTGGTTAGGGGTGATCAGGCAGGCAGGCAGGTGATCGGTTAGGAGCCAGCAGTTCCAGATTGTGAGAGGAATGTCTGACTGCCGGTTTAGGCCTGATCTGTGGGATTGGGCCTAAATCTGCAGTCGGACATCCCACAAGGGGTCCCAGATTGGAGAAGGTGCAGGCTGGGCTGAGGAACACCCCCCTCGTTCACAAATTTCGTGCACTGGGCCAATAGTTTCTTTATAAAAGCCCACAACTGTGTTTGGCCTACCTATTCAGGGTTTATGGGACCTTAGTAAGATGAATACTTATGAAAATATTTTTCTTTAAATTGTGTCTTTTCCTGCAACATTTCTTCCAATTGTTGTCTAATCTGCACATAGGAAAATCTTCAGGCATTGCTATTAATGTTGCCAACATTATTTAGAAAATCAAGTGTGTCCATTTAGCTTCACAGAAAAAAAGTAGACTACATTATTTTCAAATGCTGTAATGTGTGGTTTTGACACCATCATAATTCCTTTCTAAACATTTCAAAGATGCACATAGTTCACAGGGTTCTAATTTATCCTTCCACTTGCACTGGGGAGCCAGACTTCAGTGTTGGCAGGAGCTGAGGGGCAGGGACGCTCCTAATGGGGGGAATAATAACTTGGTTGGTAACATCGGAAAGCGCTAAGTGGATTTTTTATTAAATTTTCAAAATTCCTTTTCATGTAGATGAAACGGAAATATTTTTAGCCTAGTAGGTAAATCTTCTATACACATCAAAGTATTACAAAATAAAAGCCCCGTAAATGCACTTTCTTCCATGACCACACGATGTGATTTAGTGTGTCAGAAGCAACCCATCGGCCCCAAGCATCTCCACACTAGACAGTGCATGTTATTCAAAATTCCAACAGAGAATCATTCTTTTAAATGTAGGTAATATCTCTAGTTAAAATGCAAATACTCTTCTGAGGAAATACATTTATGCTAAAACTAGTTATTAGCATATTAATATTAATTTGTTCTCAGACACTGTCTAGTGAGACAGAGATAATGGGAACTGGAACCCTAGCACTTTAGGTGGACATGATGGGCAGTCCATATAAGTCAGAGCCCAGCATTGGGCCAAAGA